GGAACCTTAGTAGGAACCTTGATAAAGGAACCTTTAGTAGGAACCTTGATAAGGAACCTTCAGTAAGAACCTTGATAAGGAAACTCTAGTAGGAACCTTGATAAGGAACCTTCAGCAGGAACCTTGATAAGGAACTCTAGTAGGAACCTTGATAAGGAACCTTTAGTAGGAACCTTGATAAGGAACCTTTAGTAGGAACCTTGATAAGGAACCTTCAGCAGGAACCTTGATAAGGAAACTCTAGTAGGAACCTTGATAAGGAACCTTTAGTAGGAACCTTGATAAGGAACCTTCAGCAGAACCTTGATAAGGAACTCTAGTAGGAACCTTGATAAGGAACCTTTAGTAGGAACCTTGATAAGGAACCTTCAGTAAGAACCTTGATAAGGAAACTCTAGTAGGAACCTTGATAAGGAACCTTCAGTAGAACCTTGATAAGGAAACTCTAGTAGGAACCTTGATAAGGAACCTTTAGTAGGAACCTTGATAAGGAACCTTTAGTAGGAACCTTGATAAGGAACCTTCAGTAAGAACCTTGATAAGAAACTCTAGTAGGAACCTTGATAAGGAACCTTTAGTAAGAACCTTGATAAGGAACCTCTAGTAGGAACCTTGATAAGGAACCTCTAGTAGGAACCTTGACAAGGAACCTTGATAAGGAAACTCTAGTAGGAACCTTGATAAGGAACCTTCATAAGAACCTTGATAAGGAAACTCTAGTAGGAACCTTGATAAGGAACCTTTAGTAGGAACCTTGATAAGGAACCTCTAGTAGGAACCTTGATAAGGAACCTTCAGTAAGAACCTTGATAAGGAAACTCTATAGGAACCTTGATAAGGAACCTTTAGTAGGAACCTTGATAAGGAACCTTTAGTAGGAACCTTGATAAGGAACCTTTAGCAGGAACCTTGATTAGGAAACTCTAGTAGGAACCTTGATAAGGAACCTTCAGCAGGAACTTGATAAGGAAACTCTAGTAGGAACCTTGATAAGGAACCTTTAGTAGGAACCTTGATAAGGAACCTTTAGTAGGAACCTTGATAAGGAACCTTCAGCAGGAACCTTGATAAGGAACCTTTAGTAGGAAACCTTGATAAGGAACCTTCAGTAAAACCTTGATAAGGAACTCTAGTAGAACCTTGATAAGGAACCTTCAGTAAGAACCTTGATAAGGAAACTCTAGTAGGAACCTTGATAAGGAACCTTTAGTAGGAACCTTGATAAGGAACCTTTAGTAGGAACCTTGATAAGGAACCTTCAGTAAGAACCTTGATAAGGAAACTCTAGTAGGAACTTGATAAGAACCTTTAGTAGGAACCTTGATAAGGAACCTTCAGTAAGAACCTTGATAAGGAAACTCTAGTAGGAACCTTGATAGGAACCTTCAGTAAGAACCTTGATAAGGAAACTCTAGTAGGAACCTTGATAAGGAACCTTTAGTAGGAACCTTGATAAGGAACCTTTAGTAGGAACCTTGATAAGGAACCTTCAGTAAGAACCTTGATAAGAAAACTCTAGTAGGAACCTTGATAAGGAACCTTTAGTAAGAACCTTGATAGGAACCTCTAGTAGAACCTTGATAAGGAACCTCTATAGGAACCTTGACAAGGAACCTTGATAAAGGAAACTCTAGTAGAACCTTGATAAGGAACCTTCAGTAAGAACCTTGATAAGGAACTCTAGTAGGAACCTTGATAAGGAACCTTTAGTAGGAACCTTGATAAGGAACCTCTAGTAGGAACCTTGATAAGGAACCTTCAGTAGAACCTTGATAAGGAACTCTAGTAGGAACTTGATAAAACCTTTAGTAGGAACCTTGATAAGGAACCTTTAGTAGGAACCTTGATAAGGAACCTTCAGCAGGAACCTTGATTAGGAAACTCAGTAGGAACCTTGATAAGGAACCTTCAGAGAACCTTGATATGGAACTCTAGTAGGAACCTTGATAAGGAACCTTTAGTAGGAACCTTGATAAGGAACCTTTAGTAGGAACCTTGATAAGGAACCTTCAGCAGGAACCTTGATAAGGAAACTCTAGTAGGAACCTTGAAGGAACCTTTAGTAGGAACCTTGATAAGGAACCTTCAGTAAGAACCTTGATAAGGAAACTCTAGTAGGAACCTTGATAAGGAACCTTTAGTAGGAACCTTGATAAGGAACCTTTAGTAGGAACCTTGATAAGGAACCTTCAGTAAGAACCTTGATAAGGAAACTCTAGTAGGAACCTTGATAAGGAACCTTTAGTAGGAACCTTGATAAGGAACCTTCAGTAAGAACCTTGATAAGGAAACTCTAGTAGGAACCTTGATAAGGAACCTTCAGTAAGAACCTTGATAAGGAAACTCTAGTAGGAACCTTGATAAGGAACCTTTAGTAGGAACCTTGATAAGGAACCTTTAGTAGGAACCTTGATAAGGAACCTTCAGTAAGAACTTTGATAAGGAAACTCTAGTAGGAACCTTGATAAGGAACCTTTAGTAGGAACCTTGATAAGGAACCTCTAGTAGGAACCTTGATAAGGAACCTTCAGTAGGAACCTTGATAAGGAACCTCTAGTAGGAACCTTGATAAGGAACCTTTAGTAGGAACCTTGATAAGGAACCTTCAATAAGAACCTTGATAAGAAAACTCTAGTAGGAACCTTGATAAGGAACCTTTAGTAAGAACCTTGATAAGGAACCTCTAGTAGGAACCTTGATAAGGAACCTATAGTAGGAACCTTGACAAGGAACCTTGATAAGGAAACTAGTAGGAACCTTGATAAGGAACCTTCAGTAAGAACCTTGATAAGGAACCTTTAGTAGGAACCTTGATAAGGAACCTTCAGTAAGAACCTTGATAAGGAAACTCTAGTAGGAACCTTGATAAGGAACCTTTAGTAGGAACCTTGATAAGGAACCTCTAGTAGGAACCTTGATAAGGAACCTTCAGTAAGAACCTTGATAAGGAAACTCTAGTAGGAACCTTGATAAGGAACCTTTAGTAGGAACCTTGATAAGGAACCTTTAGTAGGAACCTTGATAAGGAACCTTCAGCAGGAACCTTGATAAGGAAACTCTAGTAGGAACCTTGATAAGGAACCTTTAGTAGGAACCTTGATAAGGAACCTTCAGTAAGAACCTTGATAAGGAACCTTCAGCAGGAACCTTGATAAGGAACCTTTAGTAGGAACCTTGATAAGGAACCTTCAGTAAGAACCTTGATAAGGAAACTCTAGTAGGAACCTTGATAAGGAACCTTTAGTAGGAACCTTGATAAGGAACCTCTAGTAGGAACCTTGATAAGGAACCTTTAGTAGGAACCTTGATAAGGAACCTTCAGTAAGAACCTTGATAAGGAACCTTCAGCAGGAACCTTGATAAGGAACCTTTAGTAGGAACCTTGATAAGGAACCTTCAGTAAGAACCTTGATAAGGAAACTCTAGTAGGAACCTTGATAAGGAACCTTCAGCAGGAACCTTGATAAGGAACCTCTAGTAGGAACCTTGATAAGGAACCTTTAGTAGGAACCTTGATAAGGAACCTTTAGTAGGAACCTTGATAAGGAACCTTTAGTAGGAACCTTGATAAGGAACCTCAGTAAGAACCTTGATAAGGAACCTTGATAAGGAACCTTCAGCAGGAACCTTGATAAGGAACCTCTAGTAGGAACCTTGATAAGGAACCTTTAGTAGGAACCTTGATAAGGAACCTTTAGTAGGAACCTTGATAAGGAACCTCTAGTAGGAACCTTGATAAGGAACCTTTAGTAGGAACCTTGATAAGGAACCTTTAGTAGGAACCTTGATAAGGAACCTTTAGTAGGAACCTTGATAAGGAACCTTCAGTAAGAACCTTGATAAGGAACCTTGATAAGGAACCTTCAGCAGGAACCTTGATAAGGAACCTCTAGTAGGAACCTTTCGCTCTGTGGATGGAGACATGCTGTCCTGCTGTGAGACGTTCTCGCTGCTCTTTTGGTAGGTGTGTAGTTGCCATGGCAACAGGTCTTCATGCTCACACAGATAAAGACAAAAACAGTGAAACGATCTGGAGATAAACGCTGAACGCATGGAGATGCAGCATGGAGATGCAGCATGGAGATGCAGCATGGAGATGCAGCATGGAGATGCAGCATGGAGATGCAGCATGGAGATGCAGCATGGAGATGCAGCATGGAGATGCAAGGATGTGTGTGTGTGTTATCTATGTGTGTGTGTTATCAATCTATGTGTGTGTGTGTGTGTGTGTGTTATCTATGTGTGTGTGTGTGTGTGTTATCTATGTGTGTGTGTGTGTTATCTATGTGTGTGTGTGTGTGTGTGTGTGTGTTATCTATGTGTGTGTGTGTGTGTTATCTATGTGTGTGTGTGTTATCTATGTGTGTGTGTGTGTGTGTGTTATCTATGTGTGTGTGTTATCTATGTGTGTGTGTGTGTGTGTGTTATCTATGTGTGTGTGTGTTATCTATGTGTGTGTGTGTGTGTGTTATCTATGTGTGTGTGTGTGTGTGTTATCTATGTGTGTGTGTGTGTGTTATCTATGTGTGTGTGTGTGTGTGTGTTATCTATGTGTGTGTGTGTGTGTGTTATCTATGTGTGTGTGTGTGTGTTATCTTGTGTGTGTGTGTGTGTGTGTGTGTTATCTATGTGTGTGTGTGTGTGTGTTATCTATGTGTGTGTGTGTGTGTGTGTTATCTATGTGTGTGTGTGTGTGTCACTGGTTCAGCCGTGTGAGGAGTAAAAATAGACTGATTCCTCAGATGTGTGGAGCAGCTGCAGTCGTTCCTGGAGGAGAGCATCATGGGAGATTTTGTCGTCACCATGACGCTGCAGCAGGAAGTTCAGCTGCATCATCGGAGTCTTCCTCAGAGAAATGTGGAAGAAGTGTTTGGGTTGGGGACAGAGCGGCCGGTTCAGTCTCGATGCTTCTTGAAGCTCGTCTCTGGACGTCTTTACGTCCACCAGGCATTAGACCAGAACCTGGACCTGAATGCTCCTTTCATCCTCTGTGTGTCCAGGACACCGCGGGGCAGGAGCGCTATCGCACCATCACCACGGCTTACTACCGAGGAGCCATGGGCTTCATCCTCATGTATGACATCACCAACGAGGAGTCGTTCAATGCGGTCCAGGACTGGTAGGGGGTTGGTCAGATGCTGGCTTGTGTCGTGATGTCAATAGGTGTGAATCCCTTCCAGCTAGCTGTCGCTCTGTGTCCGCAGGGCCACCCAGATCAAGACGTACTCGTGGGACAACGCCCAGGTCATCATGGTGGGCAACAAGTGTGACATGGACGAGGAGAGAGTGGTACCACCCGAGAAAGGAAAACACCTGGCGGACCAGCTAGGTGTGCATTAGTTCGTTTTAGAAGGAAAAAGAAAGCCGCAGTAGTCAGGATAATCTGCTGTCAGATTATTCCTGAATACTTTATTATCTCAATAATGATCTCCAGTGTTTTCAGTTTGATGTCAGTCAACCAGGGACCAGCTCCTAAGAGACTATTCTGCAGCTTTTAGAGCAGGGGTGGGCACTCCTGGTCCTGACTGTGAGCCATTTCTCCTGCTATCGCTAGGCTAGCATGTTAGCTTTGGTTGTATTTTCCCAGAATGCCCTGCGCTGTAGTCCACTTCCAGCTTTTGGAGCGGTCTGCGGTCACATTCAAACCGAACCGGAGTTCTCTTCAATCAAACACAGACTGAGGTTTCACCTGAGGTCAGAGGTCGGTTAGCATTCACACCTCACCAACCAAACTGAACTTTGACTAGGCCGACAGACTGGAGGCGGGTTAAAGGGGACTGAACGGGACTGGTGAGAATAAACCCTGAAAGCTGCAGGATAGTATCTCTGGAGGACTGGAGGGTCCAAGTGCTGCTTTTAGAGATTTTGAGCAATTACTGACCCAGTAAGACCTTGTCAGAGACCTTCCACCAAACATTTCTAGAAACATTTTCAGCAGAAATATCACAGGTCAAAGTTTGGTGAACCAGGCTTTCCAACCACAGACTGGAGACTTCTGGTGTGACCTTTGCCTGTCTCCTGCAGGGTTTGAGTACTATGAGGCGAGCGCCAAGGAGAACATCAATGTGCGTCAGGTTTTTGAGCGCCTGGTAGACATCATCTGTGTAAAGATGTCTGAACGTGTGGACGTGGAGGCACCAGTAGCTCCTGGACCTAAGACCACCAGACTGACCGACAAGCCAGCCCAGCTACCTCAGAAATGCTGCTGATCATCGGTCCACCTCCGCCCACCCTGAGCTGTAGGTCAAATAAAAAAATCAGATAGTCCGACTGTTGAGACATTCCTCCACACCCGCTCTGCTTCAGTCCATGTTTGTGAGCCGTCAGTCATCACTCCTGCTAACATCCAGGAAGCCGCTCCGTTCGTTACCTGAGGCCGGCTGACCGCTGGAGGTCCCCTCCGCCTTCACCTGGCCGGTCCATTGGTTCTGCTTTCAAATGACTGCAGAGAATCAGTTTAGGACAGCCCACAGCGCCACCTGCAGACCGTACAGATGAGTAGCATTTAGTGGCGACTGTCCTTTCTCTGTCTGCACCGCCAAGATTTTAGTGTTTCTACTGAACCTCTGGAACGTCCTAAATCCCGATGCAACCAGAACGTCCAGCTGCAGTTAAAGCCATGATGAGAATGACAGCAGAACGATCGGCCGACGAGGTCCACTCTGCTCAGGAAAACAACCAAGTAGGCCAAACACCGAGAGGTAGGACTACAGCTACATACCTGTCAAGTCTCCTTTACCCCCACCCCGCTCTGACCTCTGACAGGAACACCGAACGGAGACATTTCCCATATTCTCAAATTCTAAACTTGACCAGTTTGGTCACCTGCCGAACATTAAACTCAGAGACATAAAAGTCAGTCCATCCCGCTGCGGCCCGGTCCGGACGGTTCCTCTCAGCCTGCAGCCGAACCTCTGAAGCTGTTTTTAGTCAGTCATTGGAGCGTAAGGAGGCTCCGCCCCCTTAGCAGGTGTTGTCTTGTGGCCGCCATGTTTGCAGTGTGTTTCCCATGATCAGGTGTGTGTGAGTTAAATATAATTACCGTGATATTAATAGCCTGTCCAGATGTAAGGGTTCCCCCATTGAGAGTAAACGGTAATATTGTTACTTTATTTTGAGGTGAAACTGTAAATGATAGAGTTAGAGCTAAATATACCGTTGTGGAGTATGAGCTTCTTTTTATGATTAATTCTGTGAACTTGTTGTCTTACGGTTTGCTCCGTCCGGAGAAGCACAAAGTGATTGTACAAAATATTGTGAATGTTTGTATATTGTAGATGATTCTTAGAATAATAAAAACCACAGTCTTTCATCAAAACACGTCTTCTTTTGGTTCTGTTCGGACCGGGATCCAGTTCTGACTGTCGTGGATCCAGACAGGTCAGTTCGGTCCAGTTCTTGGGTCGGTTCTGGAACTCAGGTTGGTTCCTTTTTCACATGTAGCTTCGTCCAATAGGAAAGCAGCTGATAGAGTGAGCACTGATGATGTCATCAATATGGGTCCGATCCTGGTCGGGTTCTGGTTTTTATTTAACAATGTTCATGTCATAAAGTGTGGTGGTGGAGATGCTGAGGCAGGCGCTGGACACCCAGCTGGGTGAATGGTGAGTATTTAATAATGCAAAAAACAGCAACAAACAGTCCGCGGCTGAGCGGAAGCCAGGGCTCACACCGGAAGCAACTGCTGTAACGGGCGGAAAAACACTAAACGGCGACAATGTGCGACCAACAACGACAAAATACGACAACTTACGACAAGGACCCGACGAGGAACAAAGGGACTAAATACACTGAGGGTAATCAAGGGAACAAGACACACCTGGGAACAATCAACAATCAGGACAACGAGGAGACTGAGGACACAGAAACTCAGAATAAAACACAGAACCTGACAATTCAAGATCATGTGGCATGAACATACATGAAGACCTCCAGTCTGACAGGCTTAAGATGCACATATCACTATAACACTAAAAAAACTCAAATATATTTATATAAATAAGTAGTTTGTTAGACATCAAACAGACATGGCAGAACGACAAACAGAAAAAGACAAACGGGCTTTAGTTCCCACATCAATTCAGACGTTAGTTCCCACATCAATGCAGACGTTAGTTCCCACATCAATGCAGACGTTAGTTCCCACATCAATTCAGACGTTAGTTCCCACATCAATTCAGACGTTAGTTCCCACATCAATTCAGACGTTAGTTCCCACATCAATGCAGATCATTATAGGGTTCGAGTTGATTGTTGTTCATCAGTTTCTAGGTTCCCTGTTCGAAGGTTTTTGATGGTTTTCTGTTTGCACGTTTGCAGGAGGGATGAAGAAATTGGTGAAGATCAGCAGGTTGTTAAAAAAAAAAAAAGCTCGGTTCTTCTGACTCTGGCTCGGTCCAATTTTTATATCCTGTCTTTTTAAGGGATCCTGTAGGAAATGTTTAGTTAAGATCCAGTTTGTCCAAAATGTACCAGTTTGTTCTGACAGGTGAGCTGTTACTGCACCGCTTCTTTTCAAAATAAAATAACTGGTCATGTAGCACGGTAGCCATGGTGACAGGTTTGTAACTGGACCCAAACTGATTTGATTACATTGTAATAAATGATTATTAGAGCGTAAAGAAAACATTTAAGGTTTATTCAGTCCCTCCATGTCCAGCCAAGATAATTAAACTAAACTAACTTTCAAACCTGCCTGAGACAGACTGTTGACCCGTCCGGGTGGGTGGACCCGCCTCGCCTCGTCCAGAACCCTGGCTGGAGAGGCAGCAGGACCTCCTGACCCCAGGCGGAACCGGGGGTTAGAACATGGATGGATGGATAACTTTCAAGCCTGGGCTGCAGATAATTTCTCAAAAAATATCCCAACCAGAACATAAAGGAAGTACCAAGCAGCTCAGATATGATGTCACCCAAATTTATGGATGAGCCACTTTCAATAAAATAAGGGAACTTAATTTAAAAACTTTTGCACACTATTTGCCCTTATAGCTAAATTCTAATGTCTAATGAGTTGGATGAAGAAGGTCACTTTGGAGACATGGAGAAATTTCTCAAAGAAAAATGTAAACACTGTCAGCATCAGACTGACTGTAACAGTGTTACTGTCAGTCTGAATGTTGGGATAAAATTGTGTTTCATCATGAATTATGCTCATCTTAGGAAAAAATCATAATAACGTCCGCAGGTCTCCATAGTCCGCTCATATCTCAACATTCAACAACAATTTTATTTTCTCTCTAGAATATTGTTTATGTTTGTGTCGATGTCAGTTTGGTTTTATTTGTGTTTGGAACAACTTGCATCTTAATAAATCTCTATCAACTGTAAGATAGCGACACAAAATGAACCTCCAGGTTTTTAAAATATCACAATAACTATTTGCTTTGTGATCGATGTGCTGTCTTCTTCACTTGATGGTGTATTATATTTCTTATTTTTAAATGACACAGAAACAAAGGAAATATGTCCTTAAAATGTATAAAATTGTAAACAAGAGACTTTTGATGACGCAGCCTGTTGAGCTCTTGACCAATCAGAGCGCTTCTTTGACGCAGCCGCAGCTTCGCTCCAACTACCAACTTGAAACTTCAGCAGCAGCCGTCAAGCACACATCCAGGTAAGTCTTCCTTCCTGCCGGTATCACAGGTCCAAACTGAATTTCAGAACCAACACAGGGCTGCCGACATGCTGACAAAACCGAACTAGAACCGGGCTGAAGCGCCGGCTCAAACAGTTAGCGGTTAGCAGGATTAGTTAGCAGACTGAGTCGCTAAGGCAGGTTAGTTAACAGCTTGGTTCAGGTCCAGTTCGAGTTAATTCGTCCTTTTAGAGCTGCAGTTTTCCAAGATGTTTAAGGTTTGGCTCCGACTGCCAGTCCGCTGCTGTCTGTCTGTTTTCGGGATGCTAAGCGAGCAGCTCCGCTCTTAAATCGGCGGATATTAACGTGAGATTTTGCTCCGAATCTCGAGCTCTCATTCAATTACAGCGTCATATTTTGCTAAGCACCAAACTGCTCCAGGAAAATCCAACATTTTTTATTTGTTTTTATTTTCCAGCCCCGGGAGACATGTTGAGATATTCTGGACATTCCCGTTAAAAACAACAAATTAATGTGAATAATTCGGCGGTAAGTTTTTATATGTTTAAATACCTGGGGAAGATATTCCCATACTGTATCTGCTGGTGAGCAAATTCAACTTTATTCATTTACCTGCATTGACCAACAGGGGGCGGGGCTAATTCACAGACCTGGATATAACTCAGATTGAAAGCTTCAGGTTTTTATTGTGTGAAATGTAAAAAGTTTTATCCACGGTTGCTGAAAGGTTCTGTTTCTACCATCTGGTAGCCAGAACCAGAAGCTATCGACCTAGCTACCATATCCCTCCTAACCACTAGAGGGCGGTAACTGTGTAACACTGCTCCTTTATGACTGAATGTGCTTCTGATCAGTGGAGCTAAACTTGGAGAGACCAAAGATGAGAATTTCTCTGTCTGTCTGTCAGTCAGAGGTCGTGTTAATGGAATATTTTCTGTATTTGACCAGTTATTTTTTAAACGATGGGAAAATTGGAAGCCCGCCTGTCATTTGACAGGTTCTACTGAAGAGCCAACATGGGCGGACATTAAAGACTTTACCCAGAGTTCATCGCAGAGGCAACTAAAATCAACCAATAAAACATTATTTCTGAAAATCTCCTCATGGACTCTCAACTAACTGCGTCTTTCTGACCGGAGCTGATGGCCTGCTGAAGAGTTACGTACCGGACGCCTTGGAGCGTCTGGTTAGGAAGCGCGCTCCATAGCTTTGGTTGAAATGGAGCCTTTAATTCTAGTCTCCAGTGCATACAAAACAGACAAAATGAAGAGTGTTCAATGTTTCATTAATCCATTTATAGTCTAAACAGAGGAGGCGGCAGTTTATCTGGAGGAAATAAATGATGCTGCAGAAGTTCATTAGAGGTAACATGCGCAGTGCGCTGCAGACCCAAAGCGGACGCAGCTCCGCCGCTGCACACAATTAAACTGAACTCATCCTGCGGTTTCAATAAAAGGAGCCTTCTTTGTTCACATTACCCTCCTGCACCCAGAAGGAGAGCGGCAGACCGAACCTCTGTCAGAGACACGCAAAAAATCATCGACAAGCGCAAACCACACCGTACAGGGTAGAAAGGTCAGAGATCAGCTGATCGCTGTGATCAGACAGATCAACTGATTGATGAACCAGTGCAGACTCTCTGCAGACCAGCAGGTGAAGAGCTGCTAATTAAACTCAAGTCCTTTCATTTCATTTATTAGAAGGTTTTGGGGCCTCAGTTTTGTCACTATGGAGAAAAATTTAGATGAATTTATCTGCTTGATCTGTGATGGATCTGGGTTCGGTTAAACTAGGTGAAAGAATATGAACTAAAGTGCTTAATGTTAACTAAACTGCAGCTAAATAGCTTATGTTGATATGATTATAATTTGACAGGTAAAAATAACATATCACCAATTTTTTTTAAATGTTGTCGGTCGAAATGAGGGAAAATAAAAAAGTGTGAGTTTGATATATAAAATTTCCTTCTCACCCACCGCGGGTGGTTCTTATCCTCTGAGCTCGGGTCCTCTACCAGAGGTTATATAGATATAGATCTATATATAGATCTATATATCCTCTACCAGAGGCCTGGGAGCTTGAGGGTCCTGCAGTATCTTGGCTGTGCCAAGGACTGCTGCACATTTCTGGACTGAGATGTCTGATGTTGTTCCTGGGATCTGTTGTAGCCACTGCTCCAGTTTGGGGGTTACTGCCCCGAGGGCCCCGATGACCACAGGCACCACTGTGGTCTTCACCTTCCAGGCCCTCTCCAGTTCTTCCCTGAGGCCCTGGTATTTCTCCAGTTTCTCCTTTTTCCTGATGTTGCAATCACTTGGTATTGCTACATCTACCACAACGGCTTTCCTCTGATGTTTATCCACTACGACAATGTCTGGTTGGTTCGCCATTACCATTTTGTCTGTCTGGATCTGGAAGTCCCACAGGATCTTAGCTCTGGCGTTCTCCACCTCCTTTGGGGGTGTTTCCCACTTTGATCTCGGGGTTTCCAGTCCATATTCTGCACAGATGTTTCTGTACACTATGCCTGCCACTTGGTTATGTCGTTCCTTATATATATATATATATATTATAATATATATATATATATATATATATATATAAACATCATCAGCTTTTGTGTTGGATTCAGTCTGGGAAATGAGGTATACCACAAGCAAATGGCAACCTCGATGAGGTCACAAGGAAAGAAGTCACAGCTAAATACCTCCAACGAATAAGGCAAGTCCTGAGAAGCCAGCTCAATGGCAAGAACAAAATCCGTGCGATAAACAGCTATGCCCTGCCAGTAATCAGATACCCTAACCCTAAGTTTATAGATTTTCTTTTCATATTTTTATTATTGTTTTCCTTCTTTGCATATTATAGATTCCAAATACTGTAAAACAGAGATGGAGACTCGAGGATACAGACTTGAGATTTGCAAAACACTGACCTGGTCAGTCATGCGAGTCATTGGGGGCCGGGGCCCCGTGGCCCCCTCTGGCTCCGCCCCTGATGTCAACCGGCAGCTTTTCCTGAACATTAAACGTTATACGTGAACCTCAATCTTCTGCAGGTGCAGCTTCCCCCTCACAACTCAGAAATGCCTCAGACCAAAAAGTCGGTGAGCAGCGCCGGCGGTCCAAGTCAGGCAGGCGACCCGGAACCGGGCGAGCCGCCGCCACCGTCGCCACAGGAAGTGAGGCTGGCTAGAAGAGGAAGAGGAAGAGTGGAGCCGGAACAGGGAGACCCGGACATCGTCAAGTCCCCCAGTGACCCCAAGAAGTACAGGTGGGTCCCGGTTCTGGTCCCTGTCTCAGTTCTGGTTCTGGTCCCGTCTCCAGCTGGTCTCGGTCTCTGCAGGTTCATTGAACTCGGTAACGGACTCCGGGTTCTACTGATCTCGGACTTCAGCGGGCCGGACGAGAACGCCGAGCGTCAGCGGGAGGAGAGCGGGGAAGGCGAGGAAGAGGAGGACGAGGAGGAAGAGGACGATGATGAGGAAGGAGAATCCAGTGCCAGCTCTGATGAAGAGGAGGAGGAGGAGAGCGATGAGGAAGAGGAGCCGGAGCCCATGGAGTTGGACGACGAAGATCAAACGAAGAAGAAGAGTTCAGAGAAACAGGTCAGAGGTGAAGATGGAGGAAGATTTACCAGCTGCTCTCTCTCTTCCTCCCTCCCTCTCTTTCTCTCTGATGTTTTTAAAAGAGTGTTTTCTCAATCAGCTAATTCTAACTACATACTTTCTGAGGTTTATGCAAACATGTCTTCAGTGCCTGTGACATAAATTGTTCCATCTGCTCTTTAATTAAAGCATCAATAGTAATAAATGTCCATATATGTGAATAAATTTCTGCCTGCACAGCAATGAAAACATAATGAAACAACAAACAGGGCAATATTATACATATAAGTCATAAAATGCTGACTAGAAAAAAGTCCCCACATCGTTTTAGCGCCCCCTATGGGTTCCATGTGGTGCATCACACGTTTTTGCGGCTGTGAGTGGGTGGAGAACCTCCACCTGGTTGTTGTTTTCCTCATGTTTAGTTGGAGAAAGAGTCCAGTGCTTGTGAAACTGTTGGTTTGGGATGTGAAGACCAGGTTCTGAAACTGCCACACAGACGCTGGAAGGATCTCAGAGTTAATATGAAGAAGGATCTTCATGGCTCACACTGGGAACATAAAATGTTTTCACTGGGTTGGGGTTAGAGGTTAGGGTTGGGGCCTGGGTGTTTCCTCCGCCGGCTGGCTCTGATGGTGGGAGGGAAGCAGTGGTCCGAATAAACACCCTGTACGGGAGGAGACTGGGAAAACTGGAGCTAATGTTCCCAAACACTCCTCAAATGTATCCAATGTATCAGGAGCATATTAATACTGCAGAAAATAGTTTGTTTTGAAACGTTGGATGAAAAGAAACGGTTCTGGTTGAAGAAGCACATGACAAACGTCCAGAGACAGTTAGAAAGTAAAAGGTTGAAAACCAGAAATAATTCATCAGTAAGTTAATGATTAAAGTTCACTGGGCGTTGTCTCTTTTTCACCTGTATGAATAATATCAGGACATGGAATATCAGGGATCCACAGACACAGATATATTGCGTTGTGTTTTTACCAGAGCCTGGAGGCCCGGTGCTGTGGGGTTGGGTTGGTGTCTTGGGACCAGGTCATCTGCTGCTGTAGCAGTTTTATCTTCACCAGGTTTGGACGTTGATATTGTTTCTGGCACTGAGTTGGTCCCAGGCGATTAGAGTGGAGATAGAAAAGTTTTTTTTGTTTTATTAATGTTTATGCAGCACATCAGGGAGACCAAAGGGTTACAATGTTTCAGGACTTGTATAATTTTAGCAGCAGTCTAATGAAAATGAGTGTTTTGTGTTGGAACTGCACTGCTAGCTTTAGAACAACCAGAGCAGAAGCTGGTCCTCCATCATCTTCTGCAGTCAGTGCGGGGCGGCGGAGCCGGGCCGTCCATGCTGCAGGATCAAGGACGGACACACTTTATGTCTCCAATTAGTACAGAAATAGATGATCCAACGGTTCCTTTTCTCCAGTTGGGTTTTCGGATCATCACTTAGTTTACTTGGATTTTTCTGTTTCAAGCAATACTAGATTAGATTGCGTTGGCATTTTGATAGGAAACTATTAAAGACACTAATAATGTTTTGCCAACGGTGGAAAACCAAAGAATCAGAGTTTGCGTCTTCAACTGAGTGGTGGGAGGTTAGAGTTTTTATTGTCAACAATATACAAGTTATTGCACAGCTAAAATTAAAAATGTGATTCAGAATTTAGAAAGTGAGATTAAAGAGTTGGGAAGTAATTTATGAGCAGATGTTGGTGTTTGTCTCATTTATTGTCCTTGTAGGTCGTTTGTTTGGTGAAAAGTTTGGAACCATTTTTATTTGTGGTCACAGTAAAGAAATAAATATATTCACTTTCTCTGAGCTCCCATAAACGGATCTTTTATTTCTGCTGGTTGGACTCGATTTTGTGTTTGAATCGTCTTTAGTTTTTATTTTTAACGGTTGTTTCTCTCCAGGCGGCCGCCGCTCTCTGCGTCGGCGTCGGCAGTTTCAGTGACCCCGATGACCTCCCCGGCCTCGCCCATTTCCTGGAGCACAGTGTGTAAAACAAGGAAGAACATTATGACCGGCGGCTGATCTCGCAGGGAGCCGGGCTCCTCCTGAAGGTCTGGTTCTGTTCTGGTTCTGGTTCTGTCTCCAGTGGTCTTCATGGGAAGTGAGAAGTTCCCGGCGGAGAACGATTTCGACGCGTTCCTGAAGCGTCATGGCGGCAGCGACAACGCGTCCACCGACTGCGAGCGGACCGTCTTCCAGTTCGACATTCAGAGGAAGTTCTTCAGGGAGGCCCTGGACAGGTGAGCGAAGCCTCGGAACCGACCCCACCTGGCCTGACCCGGTCCTGATAGGTCTCCTGTGCTCAGGTGGGCCCAGTTCTTCATCTGCCCTCTGATGGTCCAGGATGCCGTGGACCGAGAGGTGGAGGCCGTGGACAGCGGTGAGTCCCGGTTCTGACTCGGGTCGGCATCTCTAACAGGTGTGCTCAGCTTCCTTTCTGGTTCTGGTTCTGTCCTCAGAGTACCAGTTGGCCCGGCCGTCTGATTCCCATCGTAAGGAGATGCTGTTTGGCAGTCTGGCCCGACCCGGACATCCCATGGCCAAGTTTTGTTGGGGTGAGCTGCGGTTCTGATCCGGTCCAGCTTGAGACCTTCCTCCAGCTTATTGTTGGGGCTTCGTATCGATGTTCATCATTAATGTTGCCTTGGAAAAGCCCTGCAAACACCCAGCGGAAAATACCATTTTCAATAGACCGGAAACGACGGAGACGCTTTTCCCCGAACGCGGAAGCTGAGGTGCAAAGGGCCCGTCGGGGTTAGGGGTTAGAGGTTAGGGTTAGGGGTTAGGCTGTGTGAGTCGGGTCACATGGGTCACACAGTCAGGTTGCTAAGAACTTTACAGACCGACTGATTTTAGTGACAGTGGGTGTAAGATAGACAATATAATGTTGCGCTGTATGACTGGCTTTATTTCATTTCTATGTTTAACTTTATGACACTAAATTACAAGTGGATCGGCCATATTGTGTCCAAGTGCATTCTGGGTAAAGCTCTTTACCATGGCCATATCAGCTGCAAACTCGCTCAGCGTTTCCTGGACGGCAAAGTGAGAAGGATGGAGAGCAAGGAAAACCTGGAGCAGACTGTGTTCCTGGAGACGAACTGGACTGTAGGCAGCAATTCAGAGCCGCACTAGTTACAGGAAGCAGGTCTGACATTCTGCACAGTGAGTTAACTGTAGACTGCCTATAGACTCACTGTAGACTGACTGTAGACTGCCTACAGCAGGGGTGGGCACTCCTGGTCCTCGAGGGCCGGTGTCCTGCAACTCTTGGTTGTCTCCCTGATCCAACACACCTGAATCCAACAGCTGAATCACCTCCTAAATGCAATCAAGTTCTCCAGAGTCCTGCTAATGACCTCATTATTTGACTCAAGTGTGTTGAAGTAGAGATACATCTAAAAGTTGCAGGAGACCCTCGAGGACCTGGAGTGCCCACCCCTGGCCTATAGACTGACTGTAGACTGCCTATAGACTCACTGTAGACTGTCTATAGACTCACTGTAGACTGCACATAGACTGACTGTAGACTGTCTATAGAATAACTGTAGACTCCCTAAAGACTATCTGTAGACTGCATATAGACTGACTGTAGACTGTCTATAGACTCACCATAGACTGTCTGTAGACTCCCTAAAGACTAGCTGTAGACTACATAAAGACTCATTGTAGACTATCTATAGACTGACTGTAGACTGCCAATAGACTCACTGTAGACTGACTGTAGACTTTTGACTGACTGCAGACCACATGTAGACTGTAGACTGTCTGTAGATTGCATCAGCCAGCCTACTGGCTAACAAGCCCTTTTCTCTGCGCGGTGGTGAAGAGCATCCAGTTGGTGCGATGGCGCTGAGTGTCGAACATCCAGAGGAGCAGGAGCTGCTGCTGCCTCTGCATTCCCGCTTCAATGCTGCTGGTTCAACGTCAGCAATAACCGGAGCTTCAGCAGCTGCCCGCCGCTCCAGAGTTAAAACGTCCAAATGATCCGAACCCATCCGGTTCTGAACTGATTTGTGTCGTTTCATCATCAGCGACCAGCAGCCTGATGTTTCTGCTCTCTTGGTTTGTTCACTTCCTGTCAGAATGACGGATTCTGTCTGTGGAGGTGAAACTCGTGAGCTCTGCTGTTGCAGCATGTCTTTGTTGCAACGTTAAATTATCATGAGCTTTAATATTTGGGTATCAAGGGCCCGTCAGTAGCCCCGCCCCCTGGCCTGGTCACCAACACCCGCCATACTGATCAGTAGGGCGGGGCCTAGAGCAACAGCAGGAAGGTAACAACCTTCACATGACCCGTTGCGTCATGTGACCCGTCATGCGACCCGTCATGCGACCCGTCATGCGACCCGTCATGCGACCCGTCATGTGACCGGTCATGCGACCCGTCATGCGACCCGTCATGCGACCCGTCATGCGACCCGTCATGTGACCCGTCATCCGACCCGTCATGACCGGTCATGTGACCCGTCATGCGACCCGTCATGCGACCCGTCATGCGACCCGTCATCCGACCCGTCATGTGACCCGTCATGTGACCCGTCATGCGACCCGTCATGTGACCCGTCATGTGACCCGTCATGCGACCCGTCATGTGACCCGTCATCCGACCCGTCATGTGACCCGTCATGCGACCCGTCATCCGACCGTCATGCGACCCGTCATCCGACCCGTCATGTGACCCGTCATCCGACCCGTCATCCGACCCGTCATGCGACCCGTCATGCGACCCGTCATGTGACCCGTCATCCGACCCGTCATGCGACCCATCATGTGACCCGTCATGTGACCCGTCATCCGACCCGTCATGTGACCCGTCATGCGACCCGTCATGTGGCCGTCATGTGACCCGTCATGTGACCCGTCATGTGACCCGTCATGCGACCCGTCATCCGACCCGTCATGCGACCCGTCATCCGACCCGTCATGCGACCCGTCATGCGACCCGTCATCCGACCCGTCATCCGACCCGTCATCCGACCCGTCATGTGACCCGTCATGCGACCCGTCATCCGACCCGTCATGCGACCCGTCATCCGACCCGTCATGTGACCCGTCATGCGACCCGTCATCCGACCCGTCATGCGACCCGTCATGTGACCCGTCATCCGACCCGTCATGTGGCCGTCATGTGACCCGTCATGTGACCCGTCATCCGACCCGTCATGCGACCCGTCATGCGACCCGTCATGCGACCCGTCATGCGACCCGTCATGCGACCCGTCATGTGACCCGTCATGCGACCCGTCATGCGACCCGTCATCCGACCCGTCATGTGACCCGTCATGCGACCCGTCATCCGACCCGTCATGTGGCCGTCATGTGACCCGTCATGCGACCCGTCATCCGACCCGTCATGTGACCCGTCATGTGACCCGTCATCCGACCCGTCATGTGGCCGTCATGTGACCCGTCATGTGACCCGTCATCCGACCCGTCATGCGGCCGTCATGTGACCCGTCATGTGACCCGTCATCCGACCCGTCATGCGGCCGTCATGTGACCCGTCATGTGACCGGTCATCCGACCCGTCATGTGACCGGTCATCCGACCCGTCATGCGGCCGTCATGTGACCCGTCATCTGACCCGTCATGTGGCCGTCATGTGACCCGTCATGTGACCCGTCATCTGACCCGTCATCCGACCCGTCATCCGACCCGTCATGTGGCCGTCATGTGACCCGTCATGTGACCCGTCATGCGACCCGTCATCCGACCCGTCATGCGACCCGTCATCCGACCCGTCATGTGGCCGTCATGTGACCCGTCATGTGACCCGTCATCCGACCCGTCATGTGACCCGTCATGTGACCCGTCATGTGACCCGTCATCCGACCCGTCATGCGGCCGTCATGTGACCCATCATGTGACCCGTCATGTGACCCGTCATGCGACCCGTCATCCGACCCGTCATGTGACCCGTCATCCGACCCGTCATGCGGCCGTCATGTGACCCGTCATGTGACCCGTCATGTGACCCGTCATGCGACCCGTCATCCGACCCGTCATGTGACCCGTCATGTGACCGGTCATGTGACCCGTCATCCGACCCGTCATGCGACCCATCATGTGACCCGTCATGTGACCCGTCATCCGACCCGTCATCTGACCCGTCATGTGACCCGTCATGGGACCCGTCATCCGACCCGTCATGTGACCCGTCATGCGACCCGTCATGCGACCCGTCATGCGACCCGTCATGCGACCCGTCATGCGACCCGTCATCCGACCCGTCATGTGACCCGTCATGTGACCCGTCATCTGACCCGTCATGCGACCCGTCATCCGACCCGTCATGTGACCCGTCATGCGACCCGTCATGCGACCCGTCATCCGACCCGTCATGTGACCCGTCATGTGACCCGTCATCCGACCCGTCATGCGACCCGTCATCCGACCCGTCATGTGACCCGTCATCCGACCCGTCATGCGACCCATCATGTGACCCGTCATCCGACCCGTCATGCGGCCGTCATGTGACCCGTCATGCGACCCGTCATCCGACCCGTCATGCGGCCGTCATGTGACCCGTCATGTGACCGGTCATCCGACCCGTAATGTGACCGGTCATCCGACCCGTCATGCGGCCGTCATGTGACCCGTCATCTGACCCGTCATGTGGCCGTCATGTGACCCGTCATGTGACCCGTCATGCGACCCGTCATGTGACCCGTCATCCGACCCGTCATGCGGCCGTCATGTGACCCGTCATCTGACCCGTCATCCGACCCGTCATCCGACCCGTCATGTGACCCGTCATCCGACCCGTCATGTGACCCGTCATGTGACCCGTCATGTGACCCGTCATGCGACCCGTCATGTGACCGGTCATGCGACCCGTCATGCGACCCGTCATCCGACCCGTCATGTGGCCGTCATGTGACCCGTCATGTGACCCGTCATGTGACCCGTCATGTGACCCGTCATGTGACCCGTCATGTGACCCGTCATCCGACCCGTCATGCGGCCGTCATGTGACCCGTCATGTGACCCGTCATCCGACCCGTCATGGGACCCGTCATCCGACCCGTCATGCGGCCGTCATGCGACCCGTCATGTGACCCGTCATCTGACCCGTCATGTGACCCGTCATCCGACCCGTCATGGGACCCGTCATGTGACCGGTCATATGACCCGTCATCCGACCCGTCATGTGACCGGTCATGCGACCCGTCATGTGACCCGTCATCCGACCCGTCATGTGACCCGTCATGTGACCCGTCATCCGACCCGTCATGTGACCCGTCATCCGACCCGTCATGTGACCCGTCATGTGACCCGTCATCCGACCCGTCATGTGACCCGTCATGTGACCCGTCATCCGACCCGTCATGTGACCCGTCATATGACCCGTCATGTGACCCGTCATGTGACCCGTCATGCGACCCGTCATGTGACCCGTCATCCGACCCGTCATCCGACCCGTCATGCGACCCGTCATCCGACCCGTCATCCGACCCGTCATCCGACCCGTCATCCGACCCGTCATCCGACCCGTCATCCGACCCGTCATGCGACCCGTCATCCGACCCGTCATGTGGCCGTCATGCGACCCGTCATGCGACCCGTCATCCGACCCGTCATCCGACCCGTCATCCGACCCGTCTTGGGACCCGTCATGTGACCGGTCATATGACCCGTCATGTGACCCGTCATGTGACCCGTCATCCGACCCGTCATGTGACCCGTCATCCGACCCGTCATCCGACCCGTCATGTGACCCGTCATGTGACCCGTCATCCGACCCGTCATGTGACCCGTCATCCGACCCGTCATCCGACCCGTCATGTGACCCGTCATGTGACCCGTCATGTGACCCGTCATCTGACCCGTCATCCGACCCGTCATGTGACCCGTCATGTGACCCGTCATGTGACCCGTCATCTGACCCGTCTTGGGACCCGTCATGCGACCCGTCATGTGACCCGTCATGTGACCCGTCATGTGACCCGTCATGTGACCCGTCATCTGACCCGTCATCCGACCCGTCATGTGACCGTCATGGGACCCGTCATGTGACCCGTCATCTGACCCGTCTTGGGACCCGTCATGCGACCCGTCATGTGACCCGTCATGCGACCCGTCATGTGACCCGTCATGTGACCGGTCATGTGACCCGTCATGTGACCGGTCATGTGACCCGTCATGCGACCCGTCATGCGACCGGTCATGTGACCCGTCATGCGACCCGTCATGCGACCCGTCATGTGACCGGTCATGTGACCCGTCATGTGACCCGTCATGTGACCGGTCATGTGACCCGTCATGCGACCCGTCATCCGACCCGTCATGTGACCCGTCATGTGACCGGTCATGTGACCCGTCATGCGACCCGTCATCCGACCCGTCATCCGACCCGTCATGTGGCCGTCATGTGACCCGTCATCCGACCCGTCATGTGACCCGTCATGTGACCCGTCATGCGACCCGTCATCCGACCCGTCGCGGTGTCTCTCCTCAGGAAACGCTCAGACATTGAAGCACGGGCCACGAGAGAAGAGGATCAACACCTACAAGAGGCTGCGCGAGTTCTGGAGGAGAAATTACTCTGCTCACTACATGACCCTGGCGGTGCAGTCCAGAGGTACTGTCAGAACCGTCAGAACCATCAGAATGTTTCTGTTCTGACCTGCAGCGGCCCGACCGAGTCAAACAGCCGGGCTCGGTCTGTTCGGATTCGCTAGAGGTTCTGGTGGCTCTGTGGTTTGGATCAGCTCCAAGAAAAGCAGCGGAATAAACCTGAAAGTACTGATCCAATCTGTGATGTCATCACGAGGTAACACTGATGTCTGTGTTTCCATGACAACCATCTGGCTGCTGCAGAGTCATTGGAAACCCTGGAGGAGTGGGTGAGAGAGATCTTCATCCACATCCCCAACAAGTGAGGCTGAGCACACACACACACACACAGATAAACACACTCAGATAAACACACACACACACACACACACAGATAAACACACACAGATAAACACACACACACACACACACACACAGATAAACACACACAGATAAACACACACACAGATAAACACACACAGATAAACACACACAGATAAACACACACACACACACACACACACAGATAAACACACACACAGATAAACACACACAGATAAACACACAGATAAACACACACACAGATAAAACACACACAGATAACACACACACAGATAAACACACACACAGACACACACACAGATAAACACACACAGATAAACACACACACAGATAAACACACACAGATAAACACACACAGATAAACACACACAGATAAACACACACACAGATAAACACACACAGATAAACACACACAGATAAACACACACAGATAAACACACACAGATAAACACACACAGATAAACACACACACACAGATAAAACACACACAGATAAACACACACACAGATAAACACACACAGATAAACACACAGATAAACACACACACACACACACACAGATAAACACACACAGATAAACACACACACACACACACACACACAGATAAACACACACACAGATAAACACACACAGATAAACACACACAGATAAACACACACACAGATAAAACACACACAGATAAAACACACACAGATAAACACACACACAGATAAACACACACACAGATAAACACACACACAGATAAACACACACAGATAAACACACACAGATAAACACACACACAGATAAACACACACAGATAAACACACACAGAAAACACACACACAGATAAAACACACACAGATAAACACACAGAGATAAACACACACACAGATAAACACACACACAGATAAAACACACACAGATAAACACACACAGATAAAAACACACAGATAAACACACACACACAGATAAACACACAGATAAACACACACACAGATAAACACACACAGAAAACACACAGATAAACACACACACAAACACACAGATAAAACACACACACAGATAAACACACACACAGATAAACACACACAGATAAACACACACAGATAAACACACACACAGATAAACACACACAGATAACACACACAGATAAACACACACACACAGATAAACACACACACACAGATAAACACACACACACAGATAAACACACACAGATAAACACACACACAGATAAACACACACACACACAGATAAACAACACACACAGATAAACACACACACACAGATAAACACACACACACACAGAGATAAACACACACACACAGATAAAACACACACAGAAAACACACACAGATAAAAACACACACAGATAAACACACACAGATAAACACACACACAGATAAACACACACAGATAAACACACACACACACACACACAGATAAACACACACACAGATAAACACACACACACAGATAAACACACACAGATAAACACACACACAGATAAACACACACAGATAAACACACACACACACACACACAGATAAACACACACACAGATAAACACACACAGATAAACACACAGATAAACACACACACACACAGATAAACACACACAGATAAACACACACACACACACACACAGATAAACACACACACACAGATAAACACACACACACAGATAAACACACACAGATAAAAACACACACAGATACACACACACACACACACACACAGATAAACACACACACAGATAAACACACACAGATAAACACACACAGATAAACACACACACACACACACACACAGATAAACACACACACACAGATAAACACACACACACAGATAAACACACACAGATAAAAACACACACAGATAAACACACACAGATAAACACACACACAGATAAACACACACACACAGATAACACACACACACAGAGATAAACACACACACAGATAAACACACACAGATAAACACACACACAGATAAACACACACAGATAAACACACACACACACACAGATAAACACACACACACAGATAAACACACACACACAGAAACACACAGATAAACACACACAGATAAACAACACACAGATAAACACACACACAGATAAACACACACAGATAAACACACACACACACACACACACAGATAAACACACACAGATAAACACACACAGATAAACACAACACACACACACAGATAAACACACACACAGATAAACACACACACACAGATAAACACACACAGATAAACACACACAGATAACACACACACACACACAGATAAACACACACAGATAAACACACACAGAAACACACACACACACACACACACAGATAAACACACACACAGATAAACACACACACACAGATAAACACACACAGATAAACACACACAGATAAACACACACATAAACACACACACACAAAAACACACACACACACACAGATAAACACACACACACAGATAAACACACACACACAGATAAAACACACACACAAACACACACACACACACAGATAAACACACACACACACACAGATAAACACACACACAGATAAACACACACAGATAAACACACACACAGATAAACACACACACACACCATTTAACCAATCAGGTTACACACACTACCACTTTAAATTAAACCAACCAATCAAGTGAGGTTCTGATGTTTCTGCAGTGGGAAACCCCGACCCGACTTCTCGCACCTGCAGCAGCCGTTCGACACTCCGGCTTTCCACAAGCTCTACAGAGGTCGGTTCTCATCCATTTGACTGGTTCTGATCCGTTTGACTGGTTCTGGATGGTTCTGATCTTCTGAACATGCTGCAGTGGTTCCGGTCCGGAAGGTCCATGCTCTGACCGTCAGCTGGGCTTTGCCCCCGCAGGTGAAACACTACAAGTGAGTCAGACCCAGGGGCGCCAATGAAACAGGAAGTCCCGCCCCTTCCTGTTGCTGTTTCAGCAAGAAGGACCTCTCTGTAGCTAACAGGAAGACTGACAGCTCAGTACTGACCGCTGTCAGTCTCTGACCTTATATGGAAATGGGACCATTGCACTCTGGAAGTGAAGGGAGCGCTGTTTCCTATATTACCCACAGCCTTTAGCAGAGAGCATCCATCCTCTTTCTTCATCAGTTTGACCTCTGACCTCATGAAGCCCTTTCTGTTTTCCTCTGGTAATAACAATCTATTAGAAATCATTTATTGACAGGGCAGTAATTATTCTTTACCAGCTAAATGATAACATTTACCTGCAGCTTGCTGACTGTTTTACTCTATTCATAAATTGTCGATAATGTGATTCTATGAATAGATTTATTGTTTTAGAGGAAAATTTTCACGTTGATGGACTAAATAGTTTCATCTTATTTTTTCCTATAAATGAGACTCTACCAACAAAACGTCTCAGAATAATATACATGGCAGCGTAACAACAAAAATTAGAATTTTTGCTTGTATCTGTTTAACCTGGTTGTAACGACCTGACCCTGACCCTGACCCTGACCCTATGAGGGGAAATGGGTTTTATGGCTTGGGGAAATAAATGTGGTGTGAATTCTGGCAAAGTCAGCGATTTGATCAAATCATGAAACACGTCACAGGAAGAAGGTATGGGTTGGTGTTTGAGCTAATTAGTTTAACGATTGTAAATGCTGCTGTCCACGAACCTCAACCAGGTGAAAACAATCGGTTGGAGACTCTCCTCCGTCCTCAGACGTCCGTCACGACGCCTTGATGTGGTCAGGAGACTGAAGGGTCGATGCTACGTCGGTGTAGCGCTTTAGCATTAGTGCAGCTAGCCTGTTAGATAGCGGTACCTGCCACTGCGTTCCAAGTTTGTCCGTCAGAACCAGAACCTCCTCTGACCCTCAGGGTGAAGCCTCTTCATTACATCTCCTGGTTGATGGGACACGAGGGAACCGGCAGCATCCTGTCTCTGCTGCGGAAGAGGTGAGTTCTGGACGGCCTGGTTCCGGGTGCCGGGTTCTGACCCGGATCAGTCACTGACCAGCTGTCTGGTTCCAGGTGCTGGGCTCTGGCTCTGTACGGGGGGAACAGCGAGTCGGGCTTTGATCAGAACTCCACCTACTCCATCTTCTCCATCTCCATCACGCTGACTGACCTGGGCTACCAGAACTTCTTCCAGGTCCGGACCCGGACACGCCTGGCCCAGAACATCTCAACGAACACCTGGTGATGACGATGTGGTTCTGTTTGCAGGTGGTCCACTTGGTGTTCCAGTACCTGAAGATGCTGCAGAACCTGGGACCCCAGGAGAGGTCCGACTCACAGTCAGCTGGGAGGTTCTGGTCTGAACTAATGAACAGAACCGCTCAGACAGTCCATTTGGTACCATGAGGAGGGAACGGTTCCTAACTAGAACCTGTTCTGTTTCAGGATCTATGAGGAAATTCAGAAGATCGAAGACAACGAGTTCCGGTACCAGGAGCAGGTACAGACCCTCCACAGAACCAGGTTCCGGTGACCCAGGTATCGGCAGCAGCTTCTAGAACCCGTAATCGAGACAGAACCTTCCTCTGTTCTGCTCCACAGACGGATCCGATCGAGTTTGTGGAGAACATCTGCGAGAACATGCAGCTGTTCCCCAAACCGGACCTCCTGACCGGAGACCAGCTCATGTTCCACTATGACCCCGAGGTGAGCCAGCCGGCCCGGTTCTACTCAGGGTTCTGACCTGGTTCTGACCCGGGGTCTTTGTGCTCAGGTGATCGGATCCGCCCTGTCACTGCTGACGCCGCTCAGAGCCAACCTGCTGCTGCTGGCTCCAGAGAACGAAGGCAGCTGCCCGCTGCAGGAGAAGTGGTTCGGTACCAGCTACAGCTGCGACGGTACGGCCCGGTCAGAACCGGCCCGGACCCGGTCTGCCGCCCTTCAGAACCAGACTGTACCCTGAGCGGGTTTTCATGGTGTCTGTGTCCTCAGACATCCCAGAAGAGTGGGAGCGGCGCTGGGCATCCGACTTGGAGCTGAACCCGGACCTTCATCTTCCTGCAGAGAACCGCTTCATCGGTCAGTCGGCCTTCAGCTGGAGAGCGGTTCCGGTTCGGTCTGAGCTCCAGCTGCAGCCCAGTTCAGAAACCTGGAGTGGATGGATCACTGTGTGATGCTGCCGAAGGCCTGAGCTAAGCCACAGACGTTCTCCTCATGGTCTCGCCTCTCTCTGCCGCAGCCACGGATTTCAACCTGAAGAAGTCCGACTGCCCGGACACGGAGTTCCCGGTCCGGATCCTGGCCCTGGAGCAAGGGGCTCTGTGGTACAAGAAGGACAACAAGTTCAAGATCCCCAAAGGTGAGATGAGGAGAAATGTTCCTCAGAAATGATTCAGAAAGCAGGTGAGGAAGGGATTGCTGTGTTGGAAGGAGGAACCGTTCCTGATGATGCAGGACGTTCCTGCAGGAAGGTCAGGAATGTTCTGGAGAGCTGACGGCATCCTCAATCTCTTTCAGCTTACATCCGCTTCCACCTGATTTCTCCCATCATCCAGCAGAGTCCTGACAAGTATGAACCCACCTGAACACACACACACACACACACACACCGCTAGACCACCAAACCCTGCGGCGGCCCAGTCGCCGTCAATAGAGGCCCGTGACATGTGGCCTGGCCAACGACCTTCAACCTGGTGACGACTCCTCTTCCTCCCTCAGTCTGGTCCTGTTTGACCTCTTCATCAACATCCTGGCCCACAACCTGGCCGAGCCGGCCTACGAGGCCGACGTGGCCCAGCTGGAGTACAAGCTGATGGCGGGAGAACACGGCATGATGATCCGTCTGAAGGGCTTCAACCACAAGCTACCAGTGAGGACACCTTCTGGGCCGGGTCCGGTAGGAGAACGGTTCTGCCGGAACCCGTCGTGGTTTTGAGCGGCGCTCCTCTTCCTCACAGCTGCTGCTCAAACTGATCGTGGATCAGCTGGCGGACTTCAGCACCGAGCCGAGCGTCTTCAGCATGTTCGCGGAGCAACTGAAGAAGACTTACTTCAACATCCTCATCAAACACGACCGACTGGGAAGGTGGGTGGAGACAGCTGCCCGGCAGCCAATCGGAGCAGAGGGGAGGAGTCTTCCGTAACCAGGTGCTTCACCTGTTCAGGGACGTCCGGCTGCTGATCCTGGAGCGCCACCGCTGGTCTGTGGTCCAGAAGTACCGGGTCCTGACCGAGGGTCTGCAGGTCCAACAGCTGATGGCGTTCGCTGCGGCGCTGAAGGAGGAGCTTTACGCCGAGGGCCTGGTCCAGGGGAACTTTACCAGTGCTGTGAGACACACACACACACACACACACACACACACACACACAGATTCTGGGAGGCCCGGACCGGCCCGGCTGTCGTAATGTCTTGCTGTCTCTCCAACAGGAGTCCATCGAGTTCCTGCAGTACTTCACTGAGTGAGTATCTGGCCACCAAGAAGATGGAGAACCTAAATGTCCGAGTCCAGTGTGCAGGTCCGATCAGAACCAATAATACGATAAAACCAATCTGTAGCTATCGATATCAGCTGACCTGACCCTGACCCTGTCAGAGGAAAGGCCTCTCATCCTGCCCCTGCTAGCTAAGGATGGTTTGTGGTTACCTGGTTCTGACCCGTCCTGCTGGTTCTGACCCGTTCTGACCCGTCCTTTTCTTTGTGATTGGCTGTTCAGGAAGCTGCAGTTCCGGGCTCCGCCTGCAGAGGTCCCTGTTCAGTTCCAGGTGGTGGATCTTCCTCGGAGACACCACATCTGCAGGGTCAAGTCTCTGAATCGAGGAGACGCAAACTCTGAGGTCACTGTGTACTACCAGGTGAGCTCAGAACCACCGGAGCGCCGGCCCGGTTGGTTCTGGACTCAGGCGGTCTCAGATGTTGGTGCTGCTGATTGCTGTGTCCTTGTTAGTTGTAAATGTTGCTGAGAGTTCTCTTTGGGTCCTAACGGCTCCAAACTGGGCCAGAATGTCTCGTCAATGTGTTGACCCGGATCTTGGTGAAGTTCTGGAGGTTCTGTTGGTCTCTGTGTTGCAGTCGGGCCTGAAGACACTCAGGGAGCACGCTCTGATGGAGCTGATGGTGGTAAGTGAAATCCAGAACCTCCTGGACCGCTCCAGAACCTCCTGGACCGCTCCAGAACCTGCAGTTCCTGAGAGTCCCTGTCTGGTTCCAGATGCTCATGGAGGAGCCGTGCTTTGACTTCCTGAGGACCAAAGAGATGCTGGGGTAAGTGGGTCAGTACCGGGCCAGGACCGCGGTTCTGTTGAACCCAGCCTGGTCGGATCCGGTTCTTCTGGCTGCTGTCACCTGCTGGTGCCAGCTGGTACCGTGTCCGAACTGGATCAGTGGGTCAGATCATTTTACTCCAGAGAGTTCTGGTCCAGAGGCTCTCCCCGTCCTCTTTGACCTGCAGGTACCAGGTGTATCCGACCTTCAGGAACACCTCAGGTGTTTTGGGGTTCTCCGTTACCGTGGAAACGCAGGCCACCAAGTTCAGGTGAGTAGGTCGCTCTGTTCTGTTGACGTCTTGTAGTGGTGGCTAATGCTAACTCATCTGCTAGCTGTGCAAACGCTAAACATTAGTTCTGCTAAGGCGCTACACCAACATGGAGTTCAGTGGAAGCTAACACTGAAGCGCTAACTTGGTCAATGCTACTAACCATTTATTAGTAACCAGTTCAATGAAATCTTTTCCAGAAAGATTCGTTTCGGGAAGCTAAGTGTGCCGCTTTTTTTCCAATGTTAGCGAAAGTGCTAAGCTGAAAATTAGCCCTGCTAATAGCTGATTAGCGATTTCTTGGTGCCGGTTCTGTTGGTGGCGCGCCGCCGCTGGAATGCGCTGTGATGTCACTTCCTGTCTCAGCTCAGAGCTGGTGGAGCAGAAGATCGAGGACTTCCTGGTGAGCTTCGGCGGGCGCCTGGCGTCTCTGAGCGAGGAAAGCTTCGCCGCCCAGGTGACGGCGCTCATCAAGCTGAAGGAGTGCGAGGACGCTCACCTGGGCGAAGAGGTCGACCGCAACTGGTACGAGGTGGCGACGCAGCAGTACCTGTTCGACCGGCTCAGCAGGGAGGTGAGCCGGAACCGCCGGGGGTCCACCTGAGGTCCAGATCGGTCCGGTCTGACCCGGTCGCGTGTTGCAGGTGGAGGTTCTGAAAGGCTTCAGCCGGGAGCAGCTGGTTTCCTGGTTCCTGGATCACCGTGGCAACTGCAGCAGGAAGCTCAGCGTGCATGTGAGTGCAGCCATGACGGTTCTGGTTCTGAGGTCCACTGGGGCGGAAGGTTCTGCTGGACCTGAGCAGAACCAGAACCACAACCAGGATGGAGCTGCTTTGTTGTGGTGATGTCATCAGCCTGCGTGTTTCATCAGGTGGTGGGTTTTGGGGTGGAGGAGAACGACCCGCCCCATCAGAACCCCGGCGGCTCCGCCCCTTCCTCCTACGGCCCGGTGAGCGAGCTGACCTTCCTGCCGGCGGCGTCGGCCGCCCTGAGGAACGCCACCCTCATCACTGACATCAGAGCGTTCACCTCCTCTCTGCCCCTCCATCCCTACTACAAGATCCTCAGCTAGGCCCCTCCCCCACTCGTTTCCATGACCACATTCACTTCCTGTGGGCCGACTGTAAATAGCAGCTTGTGATTGTCTGGAGGAAGAAGCACGACGACTCAGGGCTCTGAATAAAACGAGAATCGTTTTAACTGACTTCTGTTGTTCTTCTGATTTGCTGAACACCTGCAGCGCCCTCTACTGGTGAAGACAAGAACTGCAGCTGCTGCTCAATCAGAGCAGAGGAGGGTTAGGGCGGAGCAACAGCTGCAGAACAACAGAGGCTAGTTAGCTGGTTAGCTGTTAGCTAGTTAGCATCGACAGCGACACTGATGCCGGACTGAAGAACCGTTTTGGAATCAATCACACATCAGAAATTGTCAAACTGGCTCAGATTATCTATCAGTAATAATTAATAATTAGTTTTAGAGCTAACATTAAAGGTTATAGAATCCTTGTGTGTAATTAGAGATTCAACCAACTATAAATCCATAAACAGGAACTTTGGTGAAGTTTCTGCTACAATATGATGGCGGCTAACGTGTTAGCTTCATGCTGTTAGATGTTTTGTGGCTCCAGTTGTTCTGATTTGATGGTTTCAGTCTGCCAGAGGGGTGAGTCAAGGAGCCAGAGGCCTGGGATCAGAGGTCAGCTCTCAGGTCCTCTGGTTCTGAGATCCGGTTCAGGCCAGGAGTTCTGGTTCTGCTGATGACCTCTGACTCTCTGAAAGAAGCTAACCAAGGAGATTAACTGAAGTTGCTATTAAGTTGTGATGGAAAGTCCCTGCAACAGATTAGTTATCTGTCCAGAACAAGCTCTCCCAGAGAGCTGGTGGTCCGCTTTGGGTCACAGAGGGAACAGTCAAAGAAATGCAGACAAAACAAAGTACATGATGGTTTCCAGAGCAACAAGGTCAAAGGTCAAAGCCCATTTCCATCATGGGAGAAGAAGTGTAGGAAGATTAAAACCTGGATGGAGACGGAGGAAGAGAAGATCCTTCAGGGTTTGGATCTGAACCACCAGAACCAGTAAATTTCCACCAAAAAATGAAGAAAATTGAGATTAATCTTAGAAACATTCTTGAAGCAACATGAAAAAGTCCATTTGAAAAGGAGAAAATATGCAAGAAAAGCCCTAGAAAATATTTAGATAAAATTCAGAATTTTTGAAGAAGAAAACCTGGAACTTTCCAAAGTTTGAGTCAAAATTTCCAAAAGTCAAACATCTATAGTTCAGTCAGAGCTCAACTATGGAGCTGAGCTAATGCTAACCCTCTGAGCTAACTAACCAAACAACTATGGAGCTAAGCTAATGCTAACCCTCTGAGCTAACTAACCAAACAACTATGGAGCTGAGCTAATGCTAACCCTCAGAGCTAACTAACCAAACAACTATGGAGCTAAGCTAATGCTAACCCTCAGAGCTATCTCACCAAACAACTATGGAGCTGAGCTAATGCTAACCCTCAGAGCTAACTAACCAAACAACTATGGAGCTGAGCTAATGCTAACCCTCAGAGCTAACTAACCAAACAACTATGGAGCTGAGCTAATGCTAGCCCTCAGAGCTAACTAACCAAACAACTATGGAGCTGAGCTAGTGCTAACCCTCAGAGCTAACTAACCGAACAACTATGGAGCTCAGCTAATGCTAGCCCTCAGAGCTAACTAACCAAACAACTATGGAGCTGAGCTATTGCTAACCCTCAGAGCTATCTAACTAACAACTATGGAGCTGAGCTAATGCTAACCCTCTGAGCTAACTAACCAAACAACTATGGAGCTGAGCTAATGCTAACCCTCTGAGCTAACTAACCAAACAACTATGGAGCTGAGCTAATGCTAACCCTCTGAGCTAACTAACCCAACAACTATGGAGCTGAGCTAATGCTAGCCCTCAGAGCTAACTAACCGAACAACTATGGAGCTGAGCTAATGCTAACCCTCAGAGCTATCTAACAAACAACTATGGAGCTGAGCTAATGCTAGCCTCAGAGCTAACTAACCAAACAACTATGGAGCTGAGCTAATGCTAACCCTCAGAGCTAACTAACCGAACAACTATGGAGCTGAGCTAATGCTAACCCTCTGAGCTAACTAACCGAACAACTATGGAGCTGAGCTAATGCTAACCCTCAGAGCTATCTAACAAACAACTATGGAGCTGAGCTAATGCTAGCCCTCAGAGCTAACTAACCAAACAACTATGGAGCTGAGCTAATGCTAGCCCTCAGAGCTAACTAACCAAACAACTATGGAGCTGAGCTAATGCTAACCCTCAGAACTAACCGAACAACTATGGAGCTGAGCTAATGCTAGCCCTCAGAGCTAACTAACCGAACAACTATGGAGCTGAGCTAATGCTAACCCTCAGAGCTATCTAACAAACAACTATGGAGCTGAGCTAATGCTAGCCCTCAGAGCTAACTAACCAAACAACTATGGAGCTGAGCTAATGCTAACCCTCAGAGCTAACTAACCGAACAACTATGGAGCTGAGCTAATGCTAACCCTCTGAGCTAACTAACCGAACAACTATGGAGCTGAGCTAATGCTAACCCTCAGAGCTATCTAAACAACAACTATGGAGCTGAGCTAATGCTATCCCTCAGAGCTAACTAACCAAACAACTATGGAGCTGAGCTAATGCTAGCCCTCAGAGCTAACTAACAACTATGGAGCTAATGCTAACCCTCAGAGCTAACTAACTAACCGAACAACTATGGAGCTGAGCTAATGCTAACCCTCAGAGCTAACTAACCAAACAACTATGGAGCTGAGCTAATGCTAGCCCTCAGAGCTAAAACAACTATGGAGCTGAGCTAATGCTAACCCTCAGAGCTATCTAACAAACAACTATGGAGCTGAGCTAATGCTAACCCTCTGAGCTAACTAACCGAACAACTATGGAGCTGAGCTAATGCTAACCCTCAGAGCTATCTAACCAAACAACTATGGAGCTGAGCTAATGCTAACCCTCAGAGCTAACTAACCAAAACAACTATGGAGCTGAGCTAATGCTAACCCTCAGAGCTAAAACAAACTATGGAGCTGAGCTAATGCTAGCCCTCAGAGCTAACTAACCAACTATGGAGCTGAGCTAGTGCCCCTCAGAGCTAACTAACCGAACAACTATGGAGCTCAGCTAAAGCTCAGAGCTAACTAACCAAACAACTATGGAGCTGAGCTAATGCTAACCCTCAGAGCTATCTAACTAACAACTATGGAGCTGAGCTAATGCCCTCTGAGCTAACTAACCAAACAACTATGAGCTAATGCTAATGAGACTAACCAACTATGGAGCTAATGCTAACCCCTCTGAGCTAACTAACCCCAACTATGGAGCTGAGCTAATGCTAGCCCTCAGAGCTAACTAACCGAACAACTATGGAGCTGAGCTAATGCTAACCCTCAGAGCTATCTAACAAACAACTATGGAGCTGAGCTAATGCTAGCCCTCAGAGCTAACTAACCAAACAACTATGGAGCTGAGCTAATGCTAACCCTCAGAGCTAACTAACCGAACAACTATGGAGCTGAGCTAATGCTAACCCTCTGAGCTAACTAACCGAACAACTATGGAGCTGAGCTAATGCTAACCCTCAGAGCTATCTAACAAACAACTATGGAGCTGAGCTCCCTCAGAGCTAACTAACCAAACAACTATGGAGCTGAGCTAATGCTAGCCCTCAGAGCTAACTAACCAAACAACTATGGAGCTGAGCTAATGCTAACCCTCAGAACTAACTAACCGAACAACTATGGAGCTGAGCTAATGCTAGCCCTCAGAGCTAACTAACCGAACAACTATGGAGCTGAGCTAATGCTAACCTCAGAGCTATCTAACACAAACAACTATGGAGCTGAGCTAATGCTAGCCCTCAGAGCTAACTAACCAAACAACTATGGAGCTGAGCTAATGCTAACCCTCAGAGCTAACTAACCGAACAACTATGGAGCTGAGCTAATGCTAACCCTCTGAGCTAACTAACCGAACAACTATGGAGCTGAGCTAATGCTAACCCTCAGAGCTATCTAACAAACAACTATGGAGCTGAGCTAATGCTAACCCTCAGAGCTAACTACCAAACAACTATGGAGCTGAGCTAATGCTAGCCCTCAGAGCTAACTAACCAAACAACTATGGAGCTGAGCTAATGCTAACCCTCAGAACTAACTAACCGAACAACTATGGAGCTGAGCTAATGCTAACCCTCAGAGCTAACTAACCAAACAACTATGGAGCTGAGCTAATGCTAGCCCTCAGAGCTAACTAACCAAACAACTATGGAGCTGAGCTAATGCTAACCCTCTGAGCTAACTAACCAAACAACTATGGAGCTGAGCTAATGCTAACCCTCTGAGCTAACTAACCAAACAAATATGGAGCTGAGCTAATGCTAACCCTCTGAGCTAACTAACCGAACAACTATGGAGCTGAGCTAATGCTAACCCTCTGAGCTAACTAACCAAACAACTATGGAGCTGAGCTAATGCTAACCCTCTGAGCTAACAAACAATATGGAGCTGAGCTAATGCTAACCCTCTGAGAACTAACCGAACAACTATGGAGCTGAGCTAATGCTAACCCTCTGAGCTAACTAACCAAACAACTATGGAGCTGAGCTAATGCTAGCGTTGTTTTTATTTTCTTAAGTGGTTAATATCGCTGTAGATCTGGTATGGCAGGACCAGACACTTCTCTTCGTTTCATTAGCTGGAATATGAAGGTCATGGGTCAATCTGTTAAAAGATCAAAAGTCTTTTCCCATCTCCAGAGGTCAGAACCTTCGCTAGTGTTTCTACAAGAGACTCATCTTCGCATCAAGGATCATATTAAGTTATGTTGCTCTTGAATGAATCAGGTTTTTCATTCAGATTTTAATTCCAAACCAAGAGGAGCCATTTTGATTAGTAAAACAATTCTTGCCCACTGATGTTATGGCTGATAGTCGCTGGAATATTAATGCAGAAAAAGGTTCTTCAGGTAAACATGTATGCTCCATACATTGATGATGCAGAGTTTCAAATTATTGAGCACCCTCCTGTTTATGGATTCACATTCGCTAATTTTATGTGTGACTTAAACTCTGGATCATTGATCTGGATCATTGATCCAGAGTTGGACCATTTAATCCTGTAATTTAACTAAATCTT